AAAAAAAAAATCACCGATGATTCGCGCGTTATATTAGATAACTTTGTGTGTCGTAATAATAATATTACATAAATAAAATCATTAAAATTCGTCGAAACGTATGCATACTTGTTATATTAGAACGGATTGAAATATGTGACTCACCTTGAACAGCAATACTTTCCTTAATCGTAACAGGTAGACCCAGCAGCGGTTTCTCGCTCGCAATTCTCGCCTCGTCCATTGTCGTTGATTTTAAAAAATCGTCGATATCACGCGCTTCTCGAACCGCCGCCTCGAAGCGATCCTCCACGATCGCGTTGATCAACGGATTCACTTTCTTGCATCGCTTCACGTACGCGGTGATCACTTCTTCGCAACCAATCTTTCGAAAATAAATTTGTATACTAAATGTACCAAAACTATCTGTTCTTTTTTCTGGCCAGTTTAAAAATAATTTTTATCTTTAACGAAAATATTGAGGCATAATAATTTTCGAGATATAAATGATTGAAATGCAGCAAACTAAACTTTGTGAAATCAAAAGATTAACAAAACTATGTGCGTTCTTCAGATAGAATTTACTTTAATAGAATTTTAATTTGAAATGTAATTAGACAGAGATATATAATGGAAAAAAAATTGGACCATTGCAAAAAAGGATGACCCCTCTTGACATTTTTGCTTAGGAAAAGTGATTAAACAAAGAATTTGTTATTTAAAGGACAATTAATGGTTTTGAGATATTCTATATATTGCATTACAATTCATTAAATACATTTTTTTAATTAAATGTCAATTTAAAATGATTGTCAAGCGCATATGAAGATATCTTGTATTAATCTGTATGTAATATTGCCTTATTAAAATATCTCGAGATTATGTAATCTGTCGAGAAATATAGATGACTTACTTCTCTTCTGCGGATTCTCCGCGCGATTTCCGTCGCCGATTGGAACAATATTTGATTATCAATCGGCGGACATAGCCGTTTTTTCTTCAAACCTCGTAATTTGAAGAATGGACCCAGCAAACAATAGAGACAGAATAAGCTGACTTTTATTAATGTCCTTATTATCGCACCTCGAACCTGTTATATGAAAAGAAACAGTAGTTTTAACTATTTTCGATTTGTAAAATCTAGATTAAGTCTTACCATGTTATCGGTTATTCTTATCGCATAAAGAACTCTATCACATTTTCTTCTTTAGAAAAAATCTCAGAAATTTTGTATTTCTTCGAGATGATTAATAACGTTGAAATAATTAGAGTCACGTTTGTACGCAATCTAAAGATGCGATTTAAAGAGTCCGTATCTCCTAGATAATACAAAAATTTTAGTTTTTGAATCACGAATCGTTGCCTCATATGCTTACGTTAATGAATAACTTAAACTTACAGAGTAATTAAAAGAGAGATCACCGTGGAAAACATTGAATAGTTCCATAATGCATTCCGTCACGTCATTGCGATTAATCACGGTTGTCTATAATTAAACCATCGATTAAACCATTGAATTAAATCATCAATTCTGACTGTTCGGGAGTCGATCTCGACGAGATCGCCCGAATCTTAAGAA